ACAAGTCACATAGAAATTTAAGTTGTTCTATCTTTTACGATATATATCATAAAACTATTTAAAAATAAATAAATAAAGATTATAGTTTCGTATTTATACTGGAATCCTAGACTTGGCGATATATTTCGATAAATAAGGAGAACATTCGTTCTTGAAAAAGAAGCAACTATAGGACGTTGCAAGAGTATTGGATTTGATTGGGCCACTAAAAATGGCGCGTCTTACGGTGACATGCTCTTTTATCAGTTTCTTTAAATGAGAGATGGCGATGTTGATATACTTTTGAGGTGGGACCTTGGTATCCGTTTGACGTTCACTTATATGCAAACAGTCTCTCTCCATAAGGAAAATGATCTTTTTTTTTCTTAACTTGAAACACATTTCAATTAATATGGAAGGCAAGAAGTATTAAGTAATTAGATATTTTTGATCAAATATTTTTTCCAGTTTTGTTCTAGATTAATTATGAAATAAAATGCCGTCGCGCTGTTTGGTTCTTTTAATAATTGAAGAAAATCGACATTTTAAATTTGCACAGTTTATTAATTGAATTAAAAGTGTGTATTTATTTTTTAACAAAAAAATGTAAATGTAAAATACAGAGTTTATAAATGAAACAAAAGTACACATTTATAGTTTTTTTTTAATTTTTTGTTTTAACAAGAAGTGTAATTTTTAAATTTTTGCAAAGATATAAAAGTAAATATAAATAACGGAACAAAATTTTAAAAATTTTGAATTAAATACGTTTTTAATATAAATATGCATATACATGTAAATATTTATTCTAATAGAGGAAATTCCATGTCTTATAAATCTCGTTAATGTTTATTTCTATGAAAATATTAGACAATATATAAATTTTATAATTTTTGTAATGCTGCTAACCGTTTTAAAATTGACAAAGATGACACAATTTTATAAGCGCTGTAAATAAATCAGTTATAGATATTCTTTAAATAAATTTTATTTTAAACAGTATTCAGAAAAAATATTCAATTAAAATAAGTTGCACAAAATAAACAAGACTTTGCGGACTTTTGGGGTATAATCTATTTGAAAAAAAAAATTAAATGTGTTCTGACAGTAAACGAAAAATAAATAAACTAATAAATAAATTATAAATATTTAAATAGTTTAATCAGAGAGCTTCATATATCCACTTCCCCATATTTAGAATCTTTGTCAAAAATGAATTCAAACTAATATGATTAGGAGTTGAAAATTTATATTGAAGAAAAAATTAATTTTCTAAACTTGGCGCATCACTATTAAGAAATACAAAATAAATAAGATCAAAACCAGATTCAATTCCTAAAAAACAATTCGAAGGTGTATAGTTCTTTCTTTTTACCCGGAAAATTAAAAAGATTTTGATGTTTCTAGTGTGAGCATCCTCAATTATAATTCGTTATAGTTTCATAACATTTTTTTCATTCCGTAAATATGAATTTGCATACTTTTGTAACAATTTGTACTATTAATATGGGACAATCTCTTTTCCAAACATTGTCACAATGTGACATTTTCCATTCATTAGCAAAAATTTAAACTGAAAGTTAAATTTGATCATTAACTTCGGAAGAAAATGATCATTTACATCGCTTTTTACAGAGTAGTTTTAAAACAACTTTGCTCTTTTTGATTTCCTTTTTAAAAGCATTACTTTTAATTAGACAAAGCAAATAAAGATAATTTTGAGGTTACATAGTAATCTACATCAATAATCAGTTGTGTAAAATATGATAAGTCGTATATAAAGTTTAAGTGTTAATTTAGTTGTATTAAAGTTCGAAAGTCTCAACATGCTTCTTATGGAATGTGTTCGAGATACGCTTCTTATAAGAGCAGAGTTTTTCGACATTTACAGTCGACAACAAGTTTTAATGTTTTTTTAATTATTTTATGATAGATTATAAAGATTTAATGAATTAATTATTAAAAAGAAAAAGATTCTAGGAATGGATGTTATATTTTGCATAAAATATCCATTTGTCTGATATCTGTATTATGAAATTAACATTTATTTTATAAACCGGAATTAGTGTCCTAACTTCACGCTTGTTAATTGACAGCACTGAACTAATTTCAGAAAGGAAAAAAAAAAAGAAACAAATATATAACTTCATATCTAATAAATTGAGGACAATAATTAACTTGAGAGAGTTTGGCCATTGATGGCAATTATGTCCTTACATTACATAAGTAATTTCGTCTTCTAGTGAGCATTATAAAGATCTAATTCTTAAAAAGATAAAAAAGGTTCAAAACAAAGCATAAAAAAGCCTCAAAACATACTTAACTCACACAAACAAATTTGAAGAACACATTTTTAATAATTTCAGTACATTACTTTATAAAGCAGTTTCAAACCCTTTAAGTTAATCAAACCTAAATCCATTAAAGTTAATTATCTTTTTAACTCAGTTTAACTTTTTCGAAAAACAGTACTTACAAGTTGAAAAAAGAATACACATTTTTGAGCAAACGATTACATAAATGACGCATTTTCGAAATCATTTTCTAATTTTCCATTAAGAGCTTAAACAGATATGAAAAGCATTTGTGGATAATGGGTAGCTTTAAGATTTTTGCCAAATTTTAACGATAAATTTGATACATTTCTTGCAGAAATTATGAGAGCTACTTCTTCGATATTTTAATTTTAAAAGCCATCACCATTGAGAAACAATAGCTTTCAGCTACTAAAAATCCAATTTTTAGTTAAGATCAAATTATTAGAATTGGAGGTTGAGAACAATAAAAACGAGCTGCTAAACTGTTGAAAAAACGTGTCACTGTTATTTATTTTTCAAACTTTACACTCTCGTAAAAAGAGTGGAAAAAAACAGTTGCGCATGAGAAACTTACCTCATTAAACGCGCATTTTAACTATTGATGGCCAAACGATAAGAAAGGAAAATAAAAAAAGATGGCAGAAGTAATTAGTGGAGTTCGCCAAGCATGTAAAAATATCGTCTGCCGGTAAGAAAAGAAACGGTGGGTGTGTGGAAGATGCGTTAAACTAGATTGGAATGCTGTCCTCCTGACATCATAACCCAGAGACGGATGGACTTACAGAAGGACAAGGAAGATCATTCACCTCGGTTCCGGTTCTTAAAGATCGCGAAGTTAAATATAAAAAAGGAGGCGACTTTTAATAATTCAATCAATATAAAGGTCAAGAATTAAAATAAGATTATATCGACCTTGACCTGAGCTACGAGGCTCTCGTGGGTCTCACAGGAATGTCACACAAAACTTACGAAAAAAGAGGTTAAAAATGCTGTTTGTGAGCTTAGAAGCACCCCTCGGGATCGAACTTCCGCTGATTAATATTCCAATCCATGATTTGTAACTATGTCGTGCGACGATTTTTAGGTTACTAATAGGAGTTAAAATTAGAACTCATTCTTTGTAAAGGTGAGGGGGGCCCCTCGTGGGGCAAATTAGCTGAACGAGAATGAATGATTCTACTCGAATCAGGTTTGGTGAAAGGACAGTTGAGAATTTCATTGAGAAAGTATGAGAAATAGGTTAGCCAGGTTTATGAATAAACCTTCAGTTCAGATCTAACTTTAGGTTGGGGTTTTTTTTTTAAATTTTTCCCAACGAAAAGGACCCACCAGTCGGAATTCAGGTGTGAAATTTATGAATCCACTATCTTTATTTTATTATTCAGAAACTTACCCCCGAACAATTTTTATGTCTACAAGTTGTAAAGAAGAGGAAAGAAGTATTTATTTCAGGAGATTATTTATAAAAAAAATTTTGATGAAGATGACGCGACTTATGTAAGAATAAAGAATTTCGCATAAGCTAAACTTTTACAACGGTAGTACAGGGTTCTCATATAAGTTCGTAAAATAGTACGATTGTTGTAAAACTAGAACTAATTTGTATAAAATACGTTTATATTTGAATTCTATATTTTGTACTAAAAAATACGTTCAAATTGTTCGTTAACTGACAAAAGTTATTTTATTCCCTACCTCTGTTATTGTAGCGTGATACTCAATTTTGAGAAAAGATAAAATTTAAACAGAGCTCCATTTTCTGTTGTTTCTGAGACACGTAATTTTTCCGGATTCTTCAAAATACCCTTTATAGTTTAAGACTTTTTTTTTCTTTTTTTTTTTAAATTTACTTTACTTTACATTTGTCAATAAAAAAACACACTTAAAAAATGATCGTTTGATGTAATGATTGTGGTATAAGCAGATTTTAATTAAATTATTTTTGGCTGATTAATTTTTCGTTTATTTATAGAAAAAAAAAGTACTTGTAAAAATTGCCTGAATTAAGAAGTAATTTTTTTTCTTCATTTATGTGATAGACCTTGAAGTAAAAAAAAGAAAATGCGAAGGAAAAATAAATGTCAATTTATTGACATTAATTTCCATTGCATTAATTGGAGAACATTAAAATGTAAATTTAAAAAATCGGATTATTTTTGATCCCTTAAGAATTTTTTTTAATTATTTTTACTGAATCACATTCCGTACCCAGAAATAGCATGGAATATTCTAAAACTGCGAAATATTATCTACGAGTTTTGATTTAGACTCTTTTTTTCAAATTATGATATGAACGGAAAAACTTGGTACTCGGTATCTTCGATATTTTTGGTTTTAAATAATGAAATATTTTGAATCAAATTTCGCAGTATTAACAAGTTTAGATTATTATAAATTCCGAATCTTAATTTCTTTTTGCGTGAAAGCAAATGAAGTATGAAATCATGAGTCACTGTACAGTTAGAGAACCTTTATTTATAATACATATTTCTGTTTAATATTGTCGTAGCTTATCTTATAAATTACTGCGTATTTCTTATTTTATAATCTCTATACATTATAATTTGTTGCGAAGTAAACAAAGAATAATTATTGGGATTGGCGAGCGATAGCGACCAGGGGGTAGAGCGCTCTAGTCAAACGCATACTTCTGATAGCTCCCTTGTATTTATATACTGATTAATTTTTTTAATTTTTTTACAGGTTTTACTGACAATTTGCATGTGGGCGATTGCACTAGTGGCAACTCATGCTCAAGAATTAAACCTCACTGACACAGAGGAGGCAGAATTCCGACAGGGTGGAATGGCGCAACTGATATCTTCTGGCATGGGAGGAATTTATGGTGGTAGCGGTGGATATCAAATGCTAAATTCAGGAAGCACTGGAGGTGGGTACTCAAACATGATAAGAAACCTGTACAGACCACCTTCCCTCGGTTTAACAGACAAAGTTAAACACTGGGTAAAGTCCTTCATGAACAGGAGACAATTCGTCAAGCCAGTATACAACCCATCCATGGGCGGATTGTCTTATACCGGTGAATATGGATCCAAGCCCATGTTCATGAGTCCTAATGGTTACAAGGCTATTTCAGTACCTCTAAGACAACTACAGAAATATTACAAACCTTATTACGGAACAGAAGGAGGAAGTCCACAATATTTGCAAGCAGCTGGAAACACTGTCCCAGGATCATCTGGAGCGGCAAGCTCTTTTGGCAGCTACAGCCCAAATGCAGTGTCATCCAATGGTGGTCTTTACGCTAGCGAAAGCGCCAGCTCTGGTCACTTTACAGGCTCTGGTAGCAATCTTTATGGATCATCCGACAGCAGTGCTTTATTTGGAGCAGGAGGTATCTCTGGAAGTAACATATTCTCATCTGGTGGCAGCCCATCCAGTGGATTATTCTCATCTGGCGGTAGTCCCGGAAGTGGCTTATTCGGCTCACAGGCAGGTTCAAGTGGACTCTTCTCTGGCAGTGAAGGCGGTAGCAGCTTATACAATATTCCGAGCTTTGGAAATGGTGGAATTTATGGATCTAGTGGTAGCCCTGCTAGTGGCTTTTATCCTGGCTCCAGTGGAAGTGGTGCCTCTTTTGATCTCGGCAGCAGTGGTATTTATGGTTCTGATGGTAGCTCGTTTGGATCCAGCAGTGGTGGATTCGGAAACAGCGCAGCAGCAAGCAGTATTCTATCAGTTAATTCAGGTCCCGGCAGTGGCAGCAGTTATGGAGACCTTTATGCCAGTGCCGCTAACCAAGCCACCAGTTTATACAATCCTTCAGTGAATGAAAATGGACGACAATACAATGGTGGATCTGGCAGCAAATCTTCTTATGGAGGAAGTAGCTCTTCCCTATACATACCATCAGCATCCGGAGACAGAAACGGCGACTCTTCGTACAGCCAGCAATCACCAAAAGAAAACAGTTACAATGTAGAGTCTGTGAGGGGCGGCCAACCTGAAACCTCATACTCTGTATCATTCCAACCTGCTCAATCAAAATCATACAGCTCATCTTTTGAAGGCGCGAGTTTCCAACCAGTTTCTTACTCTTCCGACGGCAATTCCGCTCAATTCCAAGAAAAAAGTTCTTCATAAGGAACTTTTATTATCGAACCTTGATTAGCTAGGACAATTGTCAGTTATTTTAACAAAGAGAGGTGGCTCAATGTATAGTTTGAGGAAAGTCTTTAATAATGTTATTGCTAAATGGAAGTTTGCAGGACGCAAACTTAAGGCGCACAACAGTATGAAGAGCGCTATAAATATTCCTTAAGGCCAATATTTTTATTAAATGAAACAGGGTTACTAGGTGGTCAGCTGGACTGACCAACGGTGTATTTACCTTGAACTGTAAACAAATGTCTTTTTTTTATTGTCTCTTTTCTATGAAAAGAAATAAACTCAGTATGTCAAAATGAAATTTTTTAACCTCTCTTTCTTTCATCAGTATTTAAATGTATGTATTTTCAAGGTATAATTGAAAATGCTCAATGTTGTTAAGCAATACTACTTCCTCATGTGTTACTAAGTATAAATTTTAAAATATTGTTTTATTAAAAAGGCACATAAGTGCATAATGATATTATTGGCAAGGAAAAAAACTTAAATTATATAATTATTGTGAAGGTTTTATTTATTTATTTATGTCTCCATTTATGTTGTTTATGTTTTTTTATTTAAAAGATAAATTTTAATATAAGTATGTGCTTGTTTGTAAATAAAGATATTCTTTAGATACTCTGAATTGATTAATATTTAAGCAGCCAGGGTATTCCATTAGTACTACTCTGAATATATGCTTTTCGAATCTTGTCCAAATAAAACTAAAAAAAACAAACTACACTCATTATGGGTCACAAATTAATACTAAGAGCGGAGGGCGCAAAGAAAAATATCGAAATCTGTCAGCGAGAAAGGCGAAATGAAAAAAATTAAAACTAGTTTGATAGCCTAGTGGAATTTTCATAACCGTCGTTAAATAGCAGACCCAATTTTTGCTTCTACGACTACCAATGTTCAGCTCCGTAGCCTTATCATTTTTAACTCTATCCAGAAGACAAAGGAACTCCTACATCAGGTACTGGGAGAAATTTGACTTTGTTGGAGTACTTTTTGATGGAACTAACCCACATTTTCATTACATGGAGAGGTAAGCCACAAAAACCTCCTACCGTTAGCATGACAGCAAGGGAACTCTAACCCATGATTTCGTCTGCAACTGATGATATTTTAAGTCAGCACTGTGGTCGGAAAATTCGTATCAACCAGACATCACTGGGATTCGAACCTGGGTTAAATCATTGGGAGGCTAGCGCTCTCTCCCCTGAGTCAAAACTATGGAGTTGGAGGATGGAGTTGCTTTATATAACCACCCTTCATTTTACTCTGTTTTCTCTGGCAATGAAAAGAGTTTTTATGCTTTTAGCACCGCCTTCTTTAGTAGTGATTCGTTAGGCATCGTTTCTATTTCCTTCCCTCGTTTAAGCATTAATTTGTGACTTTCTACTGTGTATATTTTTACCTTATTTTTCACTAGGTTCTGACAAAGGGGGATTAAGGATCATCATTACTAAATATTCGGTAACGAATCTCAAAAATGCACTTTTCGTGGCCCCTTCCGAAGTAAATTCTGGTTACACCCCTGGCTAATAAGATCACAAATTTAATATCTTAAAGGATGCAAAAGTTAAATGACTTCTAAAATTTAAGACTGTGTTACGGTTAGCTGAATAATTCATTTTGCCAAGTCTGTAAATAAGGTTATTTTTAGTGAAAAGAAAACGTTTACAAATAGCTTTCTGATATTCACGAACGAACTGAACAATTAGACACCGAGGTTATCGTCATTTAATTTACAGCATTATTAGTTTGATTTTTCATTTTAAACGAATTTTGCAACACTTTGGATCATAGTCATTTTTGACAACTGAGACTGTATTAGAGATAAGAGACTGCATTAGAGAAAATGAAATTACACCAAAATTCGGATATTTTTAATAAAAAAGATTGACAAAAAAAAGTTTTTCAAAAAATCAATTTTACATCAGCAGGTACATAGTCATTTGTGAAATTATTTAAAATCTATCGCATTTCATTTTACATGGAAGATTTCAAATGATCAAGACTAAACAGAAAAGCATTATTTTAATATTATATTATTTTCTTCCCCTTCATATTGATTAATAGGCCAAGATAGCCTGGCTGGGAGGGGGATGAACTTACATTTGTGAGAATGGGTCGGCCGAAGTGTAAATGGTGACTGTTGCACGTTAAATCTGTCTGATCACGAAGTCCTCCTTGTTCCCATAACAAATAGGGGAAGGAAAGATGTGCGGAATCTGTAACCTTCAGACAACTCTTCTATGAAAAAAAAGCAAAAAAAAAAAGCGTACAGTTGTTTCTTAATTTCATTATTTGTTGAACTTTAAATTCAATTCTTATTAAAACCCAATCTGAACATTTAATATTCTGTTAAAATCAGTGGTCGGAAAAAGCGCACTACAAAGTAGTGAAACTACTTGTTACGAACTGCAACCGTAACTCCTTATGCTGTCGAACTGCAACCGTAACTCCTTACGCAGAGGACAGATATGCGTATGTATTCAGGCGTGGAAGTCGAACTTTTTCATCATCACTGAACTTGTAGACATCATTGTTCATTCATCGTCACAATTTGTTAATTAGAACAATAAAATGTTCTATTGTTATTCAAATTGGCTGTCGTCATTAGGTATATTGACGCCAACCCCGGACCTATATATAAAAAAGGTTGGTCGTACTGCTTATACATATAGAACATAGCAAGGTAAGTGATACCTTTCAATGAATCATTTTTGGAAGTTCGTTGTGGTACCTTCATTTAAAAGGAACACTACTGTAGTCGCTACTTTTTTTCGCAGTTTGTAGTGTAGGGCATTACTTTCTTGACAAAGTACTGTCGTGAGTAGTACGATAAAAAAAAAAAAAAAAAACAGCAACTTGTATTCTTGGAAACTACTTTTACCGTTAGACTTCGACTTCGCGTGCAGGTCGTTGGGCTACCGAAGCGGTGGTGCCATCCCCTCTGCAGAGGATCAGAATTGTGATGGCATGTCTTCGGATCATCCTCAGGGATGTTTCCTAGACCGTCGCCAATAGCCCATTGTGCAGCTCTAGTGCGACGTAAATTAACAACTAACAACCAACCATCAGAATTTTAAATTAAATATTGATTAAAAAAACGATTCGATGGAAATCCACCTTGTGGACAAAACATTGACACTTTTGCACAATTTACATGTTCAATTGAAAACGAAATAAATATTAAACTACAATTTCGAAAATGTCTGATAATTTCTTTCGGAAGTATCGATTTTACATACTACGGCATCGATTTTAATTTAAAAATCACGTTTAGCAAAATTATCAGTCAGAAAATGTTTAGTGATTTACAGATTTGTTCGGTTTTTATACTTTTTCTAGATTTCAAGAGGGAAAACAAACTTACAGCAATATTTGTTTTAAATATTGTTAACGTTGAAACTTTTAAAACGGGCTCTTCTTACTTTTGAGTTCAATTTTCTCCTATTTAAATACCACCTGCAAATTCACATTTTAGGGAAACCAGATGTTAACAAACACGCAATAAATGTGATTAAATTTATTCAGATAAGTTTCCGGCTATATATTTCTGCTATTTGCAAGATTATACTTAAAAAGCCAAATGGGGCCTCCCTAGCCGGGCGGTATCACCCGCCAAACGCTGTGCGAAGTGTGGAGGTAGCGGGTTCGATTCCCGCCGTGATTCTGAATGTATTCTTCGTGATGTCCTCTGAATTGTTCAAGCTGTCCTTCTACTTGACAAAGGTTTATAAGCTAAAATTGAGTAGACAAGCCTGCAAATGTATGTAATTTTAGTTCCGCAGTGGACTGATCGTTCAGACACGGTTCCCAGCAGATCACCGAAGTCAAGCATCACTGGCTGCGGTCAGTGTGCGGGTGGGTGACCACTTGGATTAGTCTGCGTTGGGACAGAGGGTGTGCGGTATGGGTCCTCGTTAAACTGTTCTACCGTAAAGTACTCGACTTCGCGTGCAGGTCGTCGGACTACCGAAGCGGGGCGCCATCCCCTCTGAAAAGGATCAAAATGGTGTCAGCGTGTCTTCGGATCATCCTCAGGGATGTTTCCCAGACCGTCGCCTATAGCCCATTGTGCAGCTCTAGTGCGACGTAAATAAAATACCATACTATATCTACCTATTCTGTGGCCTTCGGCGAATAACAATTACGGGACAAACTTGGAGGGGTGGTTGAGCACACTAAAACAGGTATTTTTTGTATGGGGATATAAGTGATGTTTAGAAGCACAAATGTAAAGAATCATAGGGTAGAGTGGATGAGTTCATTTTGTAGATTACGCGTGATGGACCCTGATCGCCAAATGTTAATGGCGATCAGGTATGTTAATTATGTTAATTGTGCAAAAAATAAATATAAACAATTTTTCAACACTTTTTTTTATTAGTCCAATAAAAAAACACTTATGTATACTGAAATAATTGAAAATAATTTCTTAATAAACACATCCTTTCTTGTACAACAAACACAGAAGGTAAAAAATGGCATGAAAACTAATGACTAGAGCTTCAATTAATTCTGCTCAGCACTCTCTTCTCAGAAGCACAACTGAAGAACAGTTTCCCCAAAACACTTCACTTCTGCCTTCCTCTATTTACAACAATTTTTTTTTTTATTAATTTTATTCATGTTTTACTTAACAAATGGCATTTTTTTTATTACAAACTGCGTTCACACACATGGAATGCAAAATTCTGTACATACCACAAAAATAATATTAGGACTACAAGTCACACAGATCACAATGAAATGAGAGATGGTTTTTCATGAATTGTAATGAACGATTCAGAGTTGAGACACATAGAACAGCCGGATGAAAAATAGTTCTTCCTGAGAATTTGGGATTTAAAAAAAAAAAGAACAGACACGTTCATTTCCTCCCTCATCACTGGACATGTTTAAACAGGCGAGAACTTTAATGACACTGGCAAGTGCACTTTATACGTTGTTTCCTATGCAATCTTTCAAAATTTCATAAATTTCAGCAAAGGTGGGTCTATCTTCAGCTCTAAAAGAAAAATCATAAAAATTAAAACATAGTTATGAAAAAATATTTAAAATCTATTCTAAAATCAAATGCTAAATTTAAATACAAGTCTATAAATACATAAATTTGCAACGAAAGAAAAAAAAAACATGCCATGTGGAATTTTGGAAATATAAAATTTTCCAGTTTTTCTTAATGGTCAGTTTTAAGAATTGAACGCTAATTTCCAAAGCGAAGTATTTTAACTCAGTAGTTTACGAAGATGTTTTCAAAATTTTTCATTAAAAAAATTAATGTGTTAGGTGGAACTTTAAAAATAAAACTTTCTAGCATTCTTAAAATTTTATACGCAGCTTTAAAAAATGAACATTAATCTTTAAAGTAAAGTATTGGTACAAGGAGAAAAGATTTTTTGTTAAATGTCCCATACATGTTAAAAAATGAACATGTTAAGTGGGATTTTTATCACACTTGATTTTCCAGTTCCCATAACATGTAATAGTCATCTTGAAGAATTGAAAACTATTCTTTTTAATAAACATTTTAATATCACAGTTTTGAAGAATAAAAAGATGCTTTGTAAATTGTTCCAAACATATAAAAATGCATTGCCTGAGAAATAAACATGTTAAGTGGAATTTTGAAAACACTCTACTTTCCAGTTTTCATAATATACTATAATGATCAGTGGTAAAAATTGAACACTGATTTATTTAAATAAGTACTTGAAATTAGAATTTTTCCATGACATATTATGCTACATAAACTGAGAAATCTAGCTTTAAAATCTATGAAACAACTAAATTGTCAGTTAATTAAATATTTAGCATCCTTCAGAAATTTATACAAAACTGTCTCAAGAATTATTTTTCTATTGAAAAACTGGTGGGTGAAAGACAAAAGAAGCTGATAAGTGGTAGACAGACATAACAGACTTATACATCGAGTCTCATGTAGCAGGTTTGCCACAGTAAAAAATGAACAAAAATAGTTGCCTTTAGTAGCCTCAAGCATGAAAATAGTTGCCTAAAACTATGAAAATAGTTGCCTGAACAGGAACAAAAATTATCAAAAATAGTAGCCAAATAACTAAAATTATAGCTTAATTGTCAAATACTATTATTAGGACTGGGTGATGTCAGGAATTTTAAATCGTAATCCATCGTCAGTTAGACATCACGATATAGTGATGTATCGCAATTTAGCATATGTTCAAAAATTACCTATGGGAAATCTTTAAATCAATCAAAAATAAATAAAAAAGCAATAAATCTAGTACAAAAGAATATATTAATTCTAAACATATCCTACTATGACATCAATATCATTGCTTAATTTTTTCAATTAAATTAATAAAGAAGTCAAAGTAAAAGCAAACCCAAGCATTATTTCATTTTTCTTAAATTAAAAATTATTTAAGATTTATTGGTTTAAAAATAATAATATTGTAACAAATTATTTTACGTACATGCATTAAAAATTAAAAGAAGAAAAAAAAACGAAAGTGAAAAACAAACCAAAGAAATGTTCACTTTAGAAAGAAATTTTTTTATTTTTTATTATTTGTTGAAAAAGAAAACATGCTTTTGAAACATCATTACACCCTTTTTTATTTACTTATTTAAAATAATAAAAAGTAGTATTAACTAATGGTCAAATTCTGTACTTAATAAATGCAAAAATATTTTTACTTGTTTATTGTTATTTTCATTTTTGAAAATAAAATCGACTTAAGATTTATTTGTTTAAAAATGATACTGACTATCGAACAAATTATAAAACAAACAAGTATTGAAAGAATTTTAATAAAAATAAAAAAAAAAATACTTTAAGTACTAATGTTAAATTATTAAAAACGTCAAAACATTATTAAACTTTTTATTTAATTAAAAAAAAAATTTGTTTTAACTAATAGCCAATTTTCTTTAAAACTTTGTTTTCATTTTCTCAAAAATAAAAGCAAATTAAATAAAGGTAAGCTTCATTTTAATTTTTTTATAATTAAAAACTACTGAGCATTTATTGGTTGAAAAACAATAAAATTATTATACTTAACTACATTTAATGCATTTAAAAAAACAAACTTTAACAAAGTTAAATACAAAATACCCCTATTAAATTGAATCGCTTAAAATAAGAAACAATAATTGAAAAATATCAATGATTTGATCTATTGAGTTCAGAACGAAAATTTAAGATAACAGCGATTGTGCAGCAATCGCAAAGTAACAGTAGGTTTACTAAAAATAATTGACAAGAATCGTTAAACCCAGACAGAAAAAAAAATGGTATGAAATAATGCAGAACGAAACGATCGCTGCAAAAGTCTCACTGAAAATAATTTACAAGAAACCCGACAATTATTTCCGACGAAATAAAATGCACAACGATCCCATTGAAAATAATCTTCAAAAAACGCAAAATCCCAAAGACAAAAATGGACATAAAGAAACTATGCATTGCGTTCTATATTACAATGCTGATCCTCGCACGAAACCGGGAGTTCTGATTCAATTCACTCTTCGTCATTCAACATCACAAATCTAACATCATCTTAATAGCAAAATCTCTGCAGCTAGACGAAATCAAAATCGTCTTCGTTAGTGCGGTAACAGCGTTAGCCTAGTAAAGGATCCTTGCATATTAAATCGTTAAACCGCGATTGTAATCTAATTCCGGCGGCTTAAATCAGATTTCTGATGCATTGCCTAAAACAAAAGTCACTACATCGACCTACTGATATCGATGTGCTAAATCGATATTTTGCGATACATCGATTTATCGCCCAGTCCTAACTATGCTCCAATTAAAAAAAGGTTTGTACAAATATAAAAGGTATACATATTAGAAAATAGGTACCTAAATAAAAGTCGACTTACACTAAAATATGAATGTTAATAGAAGGAAAAAACAATTAAAAATAACAAAACTGCCCCTCAGAGAGAACATATAACAAGTATTTTATTAAATCCAATGGAAATTTAAATTTTTGGCTCTTTGGGCATAAATGATTGTATAAAAGTTTGCTTTCTTTTATTAACGTTCTGAAAAGTAACGTACCTTTTTGCGAAAAAACTTCGCCAAGAGTAAAAAAAGTCTCCTAATAGTCGCCTATTCCTGAAAATAGTTGCTTTTTTAGCCTTTTCATTTAAAAAAAGTCGCCATAGTCGCCTAAGGCCGAAAATAGTAGCAAATAGTTGCATTTTAGTAGCCTGTGGCAACCCTGATGTAATGACCACCTTCAATGAATACTTTTAGAATCCAGGTAGAACAAAAACATTTTTAAAATCTGATGAGTCACTGTCGCAAAATGCTATATTCAATACATCAAAACTCATTTGATTGCAAAAAGAAACTCGAAGATATTTCAACCAGTCTTAAATTTCCTCCTCTCAGTTTCCTCTGGGAAACAAACTGGTTTAACTTACTTATTATTGCTATCTTGTGACCCCTATAGTATAGATTATTTGACTTTTAGAATTCTTGGTCAAAAATTAATGACATATACTTCAAAGTCATTATTATACAGTTAAACCTCTTGGGAGCGATCACTCTCCGTTCCACAGTAAATGGGTCGTTAATGGAGGTGGGTCGTTCTTATAGGTTACCTATATTGACTTCAAAATGTTATCCAAGATACACGATTTTAATTTTAGTCAGTGTCATTTTCTTAGAGCGGGAAATGCCACTTGTGTTGGCATCATGAAAACTCGACCAATGAATGAAACTTAGTATCAATAAAAATGACCTCTAGTTATGAGTAAAAACAAATTTACCAATTATGAATGATAGAACTATTTTAAACAAATAAATAATTAAGTTTTTTGTTTAAGTTAGCATTTAATTTTAGATCAGAAAAATTAGCTTTAAAACGGGAAAAGAAGTTTGTTTGCTTAAAATGCCTAGGAGTTTCCTTCTATTACTTTTTTTTCTAATTTAATTTTAAAAATAAATGATTGTAAGCATTGTCTTTAGTGCCCTAAATAAGGGTGTCGTTTTCTTTCAGAGATCGTCAAAAAGAGCTCTCCAAATAAAAGCCACTCACGTTATTTTGAATTCATTTATTTGCTTCGTTAATATTTCTTGTTATGATAATTTTTTGTGTCTCCTCATTTGATCTTTACCACATTTGGTGCAGAGGTTTGCCCGATCGCTGGGGGAGGTTTTGATGGTCTCTCCTAAAGGTTTTCTTCAACACTAAGTTTATGGGAAACATTATGTGCCTCCTAAAAGTGATCATAAATAGAGGTGGCCTTTCTTGGCTGTTTCACTGTATGCCATTTTTTTGACAAGGAATTCCAAAAGTATTTATAAAGCAGTCATTACAGAACATGAACTTGCATCAAAGCACTAATGTAGATTATATTTTCCTATTTTCATGAATGAATTGTTGACTTACTTGTATTCCCAACACCTGCGCATTAAGTTGTAAGCTGATTCAGGGCAGGATTCTGGCTTCATTAAGCGTTCATTCCGTTCAAACATTTTTAAAATATCTCTGCCAATCATTCCCTAAAATATTATGGTTTAGTAAGTTCTTCAAAGAAATAAGGATTATTAAAAACACCACATACAATCACTCTTTAAGTACATAAAAGAAATAACATTTCATTTACTTCAAAAAGTAGATTGAATCACTTTGTAAGTACTTCAAAGAAATATATGTTATTAAATTTAAAAAAATCTAATTACTAATAAGTGTACTTAATTCGGTGAGATGATATATATTAAGTTATATCTAGCTTACTTAACAAACTAAAATTTTTAAATAATTTAGTTCAACCACAGATCCAATAATAGATACCCTCCAGCATGGCAGAGGGTGCTGTAGATTACCACAGTATCGGCAGAATTATTTTTCCAATCAAATTTAGTAGTGGGTTGCTGTAGATTATCATTGCATCTGCAGATTATTTTTCCAATCAATTTAAAAATAAAAAAAAAACATTTCAACATTTACAGAATATTTTTCATTGCTTAGAAAAGAAGGCAAAATAACTACTGAGAGGAAAAATAGAAAACCATAATTAACTTAATATAACTGAAATTAATCAATTAATGTCTGTCTTGGTTTCTTAACAAAAATTATTTGCTACATTTATATATCAGCAGATATATAAATGTAGAGAATTTAAAAGCAAAGAAAATTGTTAAAATTCTAAAATTCTTATACTTAAAATTTTTAAATCACAGGTTGCTTGTTGATGCTTTAGTAAGATAGTTATGACTGTATGAGATCTTTTCCTTTTTTTCAAATCTCAATTAATCCATTCCGTTAAAAGTGTAAAAAAATGTTAATTAAAATGAAATATGTTAAATTTTTTGCTTATAATTCTTATCTACTTATATGCGCCAATTTTGCCGCGTACACGTAGGATTAAATCTAATTTTTTCATTAATAATCTTTGTTTGTATTAGTGTGATAGACAAATTTGAATTTATGAAGATAGTGTTGCAAATTAACTTTGTTCATCCTGCTACTGGGGATCACAGACATTTCAATGTGGTTTCATGCAAAAACAGCTAATATTGATGTCCGACAAATTATTAGATAATTAACTTAAAAAGTTTTCATTTTTACTAGCAAATTTTTCCTGTCCTTGTAGGACAGGAAAAATTTAAATCAAAATTCTAGTCAAGTAGAGCGACTAAAATTGGTTCAAAAATATATATCTATACATATAATTGCATAAATTTTATAGATGAACATACATGATAAGGCTTTTCTCCATAAGATACAGCTTCCCACAAAGTGACTCCAAAACTCCACACATCAGATTTACTACTGAATTTGAAGTAATAAATGCACTCAGGGGCATACCACTTAAGAGGCCATTTACCAGCAGTTTCCGCCTGATAAAAACAAAATGTTTCATTATCATCAGGATAAAATGTGATTAAATGATAACATACATCAAATTGTATACAAGAAAAACAGAATTTTTTTTCTTTAGTTGGATGACATTATAAAACGGCCATTATATGAAAACATATTTTGAAATATCAAATAAATAGAAATGCTAATAAATTAATGAATAAATGGAAGAAAGAAAAAAAAACGGACTCAAAATATTGCCTCAAGTATTACAAATAGATTCATCAAAAAGTAACCAATCAAAAGTAGCCACAAACACGAAGAAAAAAATTACTCGTTTTAATTGGTCACATTTTATGAAATTTTTTGTGACTTTTGTAACTGACAGGATAAATTTCATAGTTAATTCATGTTCATAAAAATAGTATGCAAACTTTTTTCTTGCTATTTAAGTGAAAAATAAATCATTTTCAATAAAAAAAATTATTATAAGCATAAACTAAACAAACATATTCCGTGAAAAAATTCAGGTAAATAGCAGTAAAGATACTTAATAGACAACACCTACATTTTACTTTATGCTGTTAAATGTGACAGAGGGTATCTAAGAGCAACTTCAAGTTATTGTGGGAAACATTATCTGTCAGTCAATGCAATTGCTATAATGAAATATCGTTAGCTCAATGTTTCAGACAATTTTTTTTTATTTCAACTGTGTAATATATTTTTATAAATGATAAATGTACTTTTTGCTAAAAAAATCTTTTAGTAGATATTTATTTAAGCAAATTGAATTGAAATCGAACATCAAAAAATATGTTTCAAAATTTTCAATAACTTTTTAAGAAAAAAAAAAGCCAAACTATTAGGTGCCTCAAACCAGAGTAATTCCTTTTTGCTGACATTTTCTTGATTTTCCCAGATTGATAAATCTCTGACTTTTTCCTGCTTAACTTTTTTCCTCGTACTGTATCTACCCCGATAAAGCTCATACTAGTATTAGTGTCTATTCTAATGCTTTAGTAATGCTCCCGTCTTCTTAATTTAGTAAAAATTTGGAAAGTTGTAGAGGTAAATAATATATTGGTAGGTAGCTACCTTATCTACGTTGCACAATGGGCTATCGCTGACGGTCTGAGAAACATCCCTGGAGATCATCCAAAGACATGCCATGGCAGTTTTTATCCTCTGCAAACGGGATGGCTTCCCTGCTTTGTTAGCCCGACCTTCTGCGTGTGAAGTCAAGCACTTTTCCGGCAGAACAGTTTAACGAGGACCGATACCGCACACTCTCGATCCCTACGAAGGCTGATCCAAGTGGTCACCCACCTGTTTACTGATTGCAGCCTGTTATGCTTGACTTCGGCGATCTGCTGGGATCAGTGTCTTTACGATCAGTCGACTGCAGGACAAATATCATGTTGAAAATACACTTTGTATAATGATTAGTCATTAATTCCAAGTGATGTCTCAATTGGTTAGTCTAAAATGTAAACTATATTCGTGTAATTTAAGCACATTAAATGGCATTAAAAACTCTGTAAGGATAAAATGTTGCTTTATAAGGATTGTTATCTTCTGTTAATTTGGTGAAAAAAATATGTAAAATAAAATAGCAAAATAAACATATCTATCAGTTGTTACCATCATATTTTCCATACAACGAATAGCGATTTTAGCGGATTCTAGAGTAGTTTCAAATATTAAAAGTGATAAAAATCCAAGAAACGAAATTTTTTTTTTTTGGAAGAGTCCCCATTTATGAAAACGTCTTCTTAGCACGATTTAGCGAAGATTTCAAAATTTACATTTTAGAATTTAATTCTTACTTTAAATTTTAGATGGCAGTTAAAATGTTATCGGATTATAACTTTCGATTCACGGACGAAGAGATAAATGCCAAATTTTGCGAAAAAATCACATGCCCTGTAGTTTCTAGGCAACATCCTTGCTTTTCTTCACAAAATTTGCGCGAGCTGTAAACACTCATCATGATTTAAAAGAAGAAGAAATGAATAATGAATTTACCCTGTAGTATTCTTTTCCAAGACCTAAAGCTCTTGACATTCCAAAGTCACTAATTTTGACAAAACTTTCATTAACTAAAAGAACATTTCTGGCTGCTAAATCTCGATGAACAAATTGTTTGCTCTCTAAATACTCCATAGCAGATGCAACTTGAAGCATCAATAAAAGAATTTCACAAATGCTGATTTCTCTGAAAAGAAATTTAGAATCATAAAAATGGGTTCATTCTAGTTAATACAAGAAAATATGTGTTTAGTAAAACATTAAGAAGTTAGAGAAAAAATAAACTGAAAAGTTTTAACGGGCCAGTTTGAAAATAATATTTCTGAGTAACAACTTAATAAAGTTTATATGTAGTGTTATGGTGGCTAATCTACTTTTTAGTGAGGCAGAGTCAAGCAGATTGCGGTTCCACAACCATTAATGAGCGTATTAACTGTTTTCATATTATTACAAGAACCTTTTTTTTTATTAATACGCATAAAAGTATTTTTTTGATTGACAGCTATACAGATAAAAAACAGCTACGCTAATATTATACTAATAAATTAACGGCTAATTTCAAATCTGCGCTAATCATAAAACAATTGAGTTAGATTAAGACAATTAGCTCTATTGCAAAATTAGCCATTTTTCAACCCTACATTTATGAAATTTTATTCCCTAACAGGTGTTCATAGAAATTTTGGTAGATAAAGAGGAAAATAATAACGAAGTATGGACGTTTTTAAAATTGTTTTAATCAGCTCAATGTATTAGTTTCATTAACACGCTAAGCACGGATGTAGAGCAATTTTATTAATATATAAAATAGTTGGGCATTCATTGATGCATGCCATCCTCAGCATGTTAATAAATTATTTTATTATTCTTAAATATCATAACACAAAATTTTAGTTTTTGTTATGTTTATTTCAGAACGGGAACTTCTGGTTTCGACAACTTCCAGTAAGAATAGATAATTCATTGATGCACGCCATCTTCAGCATGTTAATAAATTTCAATATTGTCTTAAATATTTTAAGACAAAATCTTAGTTTTTTCTTATTATTTTAAAACGGCTACTTCTGGTTTCTACAACTTCGATAAGAATAAATAATTTAATGCATTTATATTATTTTCATTATTTATTCCCACGCAATATATAGGCATTTTTACAATATTCAAGATGATTTGAGACTTATTGTCTCAGGAGATTTCCAGGAAAATTTCAAACTTATAGTATACTTATTTTAATATATCAGCATTAACACAAACTGCTTTTCATACTTAAATTTTAATGCAGCAAAAGATGGGTCAAAAAGGTTAAGTAAATACAATTTTAATAATTTCAGATGATTTGATAATTGTGGATCAAAAATTATCGAATAAAAATTTGATAATTAAATATTTCACCCTCACTCCTCAGGGTGTAATGACTTCTGGTAGACATTTTGTTAATACTTCAACAACAATAAGTTGTAGAGAGATTTTGCCTCACTCTCCATCTGGTTAACTTCTTTCTCTTACATTTGATTATAATTACTGAGTAAAATCTCACAGTTTTGACCTAGTTAGATGGAAGGATGTTAGATAACTGGCAGGAGGGGAGTGCAAAATCTCTCTAATAAAAAATAGTAATGTGTTTTTACCTATGGATTTTCAGGTATTTGCTAAGTGGACCTAATGGAGCAAGCTCCATTACTAACATAAAACAGCTGCTTTCAGATACACCTACAATCATAAAGTTTATGACTTTCAATGGTGGAAAAAAACAATAGTGGCAATCAAATTAAAAACTGTTATATGGGTGGCACAATTTCAAGGTGAAAATTTGAGCAACTTTTAGGTTAACAAATTATGCAAGAAAAACAAACTATTTAAATTTCTTTTTTCTTTTCAAAACACACACACACATATATAAAGATGCTAAACATTAGCAAAACTTTCAAATATTTGTAAAAATGAGCAAAATATAAAATGTTTTTAAAAGCTGCTTGCTCTTACACATAAAAAACTAACATTCTAACATATTATTTTGAATATAAAAAATTCAATTTTAAGGTGCTTCTAAATATTAGATACAAATTAGTAAATAAGAAAATAAGGATTTTTTTATACTATTTTAATTTTAAAATTAAAGTGAGTAACATTTTTAGGAAAAGAAATAAACAATTTCAATTTTTTAATTAAAAACATGCCAATATAGCTATTTTTCCATGAAATGGGTTTCTTTTTGGAATAGTTTTATTTAAGATGGGCAAAATTAAGAAGCCTGCTTAAAAAATAAGAGAGCTATATCTAATTAACAAAAAATAAGTTTTAGTTTTTTATTAGCAAGACAAAAAATAATAAAAATATTCTAAATGAATTCTTAGTAGCAATTAAGCCATTTTTAAAGAATATTTATAAAAAAAACCCTTGTTTTGAGATACAATGCAGACAATAATAAAAATAATAAGCAAATCAACAATAACAATATGCTTAATTATTTTGGATTATTAACTTACCAATCAATCTCACTATATGTGGATGGTCAAGAGCAATCATTGTTTGAGCTTCTTTCAAAATTTCACTCTATAAAAAGAAAATGAAATACATATAATCTCAATGAAAGCATCAAACAAGAAAATAAATACTTTCTAATCACTAAAAGTGACAAACCAAATGATTTATCAGTCTTATAACAGGGTGCTTAGCCAGATTTTTCAACAAAAAATAATTACCTTTATAAGCACTCAAAAATATTTTTAATCACTCCCCCCCGCCCGAAAAAAAAATCATAATTAGGATCCGTGTAGTAATAAAAATTAATTTTTGTTCTATTGTTTAAAGTTTTTAATTTATAAACATAAAATCAATAAAATTCAAAACATTTTAAAGAAGTTTACATAATCATGGTAAAATAAGTAGTTTTTGATAAATAATGCAGATAACATTATGAAAATCACAATTTTTTTTGTAATTTAGAATTGCAATCAATACGGTAATGAAAATAATTTCTTTTTAAAAGATAGAAAATGAAGTACTTTTTACAAACCCCGAATTAAAAAAAACAACAAAATTTTTAAGGGCTTTTAAAAAATTTATATAAAAAATAAGCACCTTTAAGCACTTTTTAAAAACGCTATGCATCCTCTGTATAAAAAGAGATGCAATTGTTGCTGTTTCTAATGCCACTTGCCAAATATCAGCAAGCCTGCTTGATGAAACCACGCTAATTTAAGCAAACCACTTAAACCATGGTATTTCTTGTCTTCCAGTGGTGCCATCTACAGCCAAGAATATGATTTCAGCCATACACACCACAGCCGTTTTAAAGGGCAGACCCCCTCAAATATCTACAGATCGTAATTTTGACCTACACCAGAGAATAACCAATCAGTACCCCCAGAGGTATTTGTTATCGGAACTTTGAGGACTTTGTTACCTGATAGATTTAATGTGCACTAGATACTATTTATTACACCATCTACAATTCAGCCAGCTGGAATTGAACTGAGACGACCTCTTGGACATGGGCCCAACACCCTATGAAACAGGCTATCTCGGTCTAAGGCTTTTAAAATATTGGTAAGTGGTATAATTAAACATGCAAATTCATGAAATAGCATACGATTGTACCTATTTAGCAAAAAGTTAAAACTAAAATGTTGCAAGAAGTTTCTAGCATATTATTTCTTCTATTATATATTCGTATTTTCACTATGAAATTCGTAAAACTTTCTAAGCCAAATAAAAAAAAATCTCCTCAGCCTTGAATAAAAAAAACGGTAAACTCTTTAAAAAAATATAAATTAATGGATGTTTAATTTCAAGAGAGAAGGGAATGGACCCGTAATTAAACTTTAAAGAGTTGAAACATATTTCTTATTTCATAAATAAAATCAACTTGTTTTGCACAGATAAATTATTAAAATAAAAAATCTCATTTAAGTTAACTCACATTTTGATCACAAAATCAGTTTCAAAACTCAAAACATTGACACTCATATACACTGAAAATTATGTAACATAATAGTTTCAGATAAACAAGCAGGAATTAGAAGTGATCACCATCATTAGACAGCTAATATGTTTCACTACTACAATTAAGATGCACTATGATCTGTTTTCTTTTACATTAACCCAAAAGTAAATCTGATAAAGAAAGATCCCTTTCAAAAATTCCATATTTTATAGAATTGAAGGTTGGTATAAATCTTTTATAAGGTTTAACTGTAAAAAAAATTTTTTTTTAATAGTCAAATGTACAAGTTAAAATAACTTTATTTACTTTTGGATTAGGCACACTATTGCACTTGAGAGTTTTTATTGCAAATTGCACTTCCACAGGACCAGAGGAAAAGACTCCCCTGAAAACATCACAAAAAATGCCAGTACCTAAAGAAAGAAAAAAACATAAGTATTAAAGAAAGATTTCATAAATACATTTATGAATAGAGTTAGTATTTTAGTACTACTACAAAGTGGTATAACATCATACCAGTTTATGGCACAAATTAATAGCAATGAATCACTTATAAAACTGTCATAAGCATCATTAAACAGAAATAGTTATTTGAATATTGTAAGTAGAAGAAGAAGGCAGTTTGTTAGTTCACTTATAGCAGCTTTATTATTTTTATTGACAACAGTCTTTATCTTAAAATATACCTTCTTCTTAAAAATATCTTTTAGTTGTCCCATTTAACTTCTCTTTCTATATCAGTGATTCCCAATTTTTTTTTTTTCGGTTATGGAACCTTAAATGATCAATAATCTTTTCGCAGAACCTCGAGACTTAATAAATAAATGAAAATGTTTAATGATTAGAAATTCTACTAATTATTTTTAAAATATTAAATGAATGAATAAAAAATGAAATTTTTTCATTGAATCGCTTTTTAATACTATTATATCAGAGAGAAATTTCTTAATTTTGTGCAAAAAACTTATCTAATTACAGTACAGAACCCGTTATCGGGAAACCAGAAAACCAAAAAACCGGAACGAAATTCGACACATTTTCCAGCCATTTTTTTAAAAAAAGAATAATAATTTTTTTTTCCTCATTAGATTTTAGGATTTTTCTGTCTTTTTTGAAAGATGTTTACCTTACCATCATTTTGGAAATAATCATTAGTGCATTACTTCATCGTTTTTTCTTCTTTTTAAGATTATTTCCAAATATTTTTTTTTCAGTTGGGTTTAACAATAAAAAAAACTGCTTTTTGTAGCGATTCGGAAAACCAAAAAAATCAGTTATCCGGAATAGCGATGGTCCCGATCGTTCTGGATAATCGGTTCCCTATTGTATTTTAATTTAAACATTTTTGTGATTTAAAATCAACTTTTTTAAAATTGATTTATTGTTTGAATGTGAGTGATCTTTCCTCCCCATACCTTGTAATTTATGTCATAAAAATAATTAACACTAATTGAAAAAGAATTTTTTTTTTTAAACTATACGTCATTTAATAGAAAATTAGAGAAATGGAGATCTTCAAGAAATATTTGTAGTCATTATAAACTAGACAAAAAATTTCACTTTTTGGACTTTGAATCGACAGCTTTCAGACATTAAAATTTCTAATAGTTTATTACCACTTTAAACTAAATCTTTTTAATAACATAAAACAACTTGTTTTCCATTAAAACAAAACTAAAAGTTAACTTTAGTGTTATATACTTGGAACAAAAAAGGGAACAGAAAATAAAAAAAATGTTTTACCAATTTTTTCTTTTAAATCTATTGATTTCTGGTCAAGATTTAAAGGACCTCTTCGACATTGTCTCAATGTGAGATAAGCCAATTCAGATTCCTCATTGGACAGAGTATTCAGATCATTATCACTAATGTCTGAAAAGAGGAAACATAAGAAATAAGTCAATTGATAACAGAAGACATTAGAAACATGAATTGAAACATAAAACATAAGTCAGTTGGAAACAGTAATTAAGTAATAATAAAAACCTGTAGTTTCAGAGAAAACATAAAATGTTACATTCTTAATTTTTGGAGATACAAAATACAGTAGAGTCCCAATTATCCGAGCTTCCGCTTTAGGCGAGCTATAAAATATTTAAAGTTTTTTTTTGTTCTAGTTTATTCTCTATTTTTAAAACTACGACCAAAAAATATTCTGAATTTTATCTTCCTAACATGCAGGAAAACGATAATCCAGCAACTTGATCCGATGAAATGATGGTTAATATTGTCAATAATAAAAATTAATCTATCAAAAATTATGAAGACAGTGACGATGAAAATCAAAATATAAAAATCTCTCATACAGATGGACTAAAAGCTATCGAAAGTGCTATTGAATATATAGAACAAGAGAGAAGACACCAGCATTCCTGTTATCCCCCAAAAAATGGTGAAACATTGCTGCAGAAAAGTGTCAAAGCAATGTAAAACAAAAACCAATTAAGGACTTAAAGTAAAAACTCTTCCATTTTCCTAAAGTATGCTCTTTAAGTGTTTTTAAGCAAGCTTTTTAATTATAATGTGAACTGAAAGTGGTGCACTCGTATAAATTTTGTATTTATTAAATACATTACACTTATAACTACTGTTTTTCTTTTCTTTTTATACTCTTGTGTTTAACAGAGTTTTTCTGTTATCCGAACTAGTCGTGGCCCACATTAACTGGGATAATCAGGATTCTACTGTATTTATTTTTCACTTAACACTTATCCTAACACATTAATCAGTAAGCCTTAAATCAAAAATTCTTAATCTTTGTATTATAATTAAATGTTCTTTATTATCAGCGCTAGGATTCGCCTCATCCTGGTTCACACCAGGATTTGTTGCTTCAAATCAGCTTGGTTTAAATCAAGATTCAATTCAACTTATTTTGTGTTTAAAAAATTAACTTAAATTAAAGAAATTTTTAAGAAATCATAAATTAAAATATTTATAAAGCATTTTCAAATGATATAGTTATAATTTTTAACATTTTCACGATTTTAAAATCTACTTTGAAAAAAAATGTACTGCTGTGTCAACAGATTTTAATTAGCATAATTGCACTATTACTTGGTTGGTTATAGAATTTTTTTTGATATCAATGGCACAAGTGACAATTGGTATCTGTCTTTCTCAAAAATTAGCAATATTTCATGTAAAATAAAAATCAAAAATTTTTATTACTATTTTAAATTTATTTAATAATATAAAAAAAAAAAAAAAACGTTTGCAAAGAAACCAGATCCAGATAGAAGAGGTTTTTTCAGGTGTGAAATTTTAAGAATTGTTGAAAGCGTGCTTCTTAGTTTTTCTCCAATTAAAAAATGGAAATCTGAGATGGCCTTCTTTCTTTTCAAAGGACATTAAATCATAGGTGTTTTAGAACTTTCAAAAAAAAAAAAAAAAAAAAACATTTAGAATTAAAATGAAGATTTAATTCCATTTCTTTTGATATTTTCATAAAATTGTTACAATCTTATAAATTGCTAGTGTAAAAATACATTATTCAAAACCACATTGAAATTTTTTTTTCTTAAATCGTAAAGTGCAAAAAATATTAAAAATATGAAATTCTAATATGGCATAAAAATAGCTGTTTAAAGAAAGATTCAGATCCCCAATAAAGCATTTTAGGAAGGGAAAAAAATCATAAAATAAATCCAAACAGTAAAAACATTGCAAAAAAAAGACTCTGAAACAGAAGGTAAAATTGAAACTAATATTTTACCTAAATCAATTAAAATACCCTCGGGACAATGAGTTGTAGCATTAGCAGGAGTGGAAGACGGCGGTGATGGAACATCATTGCTAAGCAGACAAATAACATCACTGCTGCCACTAAGAGTAGCATAAATGTTGCTGTCACATGATACTACTGACAGTTCACTTACATCACAAGGTGGTTTACCACCTGAAGAGAGCTTTGTTTGTGTCCTGCTGCTTTCAAAATCACACTGCATGAATGTATCTTGCAATGAGACACCATTTGTTTCATTTTGGAGATCAGGATTGGTGGAATGGAGAGATTCCATTTCAATGAGTGGTGTAGAATCTTGCAGGAGATCAATTTCATCAGCAACAATATCACTGGGAAATATGTCTTCACTGAACGACTCTTGTCCAAACTGAAAAGAATTATTACAATTAAGAGCATTTGAAAATGTACAATATGTGAAATAAAGAAAATAGTGTGTGTGGCTTATTCCTCAAGGTCTAGTTGCAAGCTAGACCATGATGTTCAACTATGTAGCCTTGCAATTTTGAACCCAATCCAGAAGACAAGGGAACTACGGGATCAAGCATTGGGAGAAATTTGCCTTCGACTTTTTATGGAAATAACACATTTGCATTGCATGGAGAGGAAGACCACGAAAATCTCCCACTGTTAACCTGACGGCAAGGGGACTCTAACCCAAGATCTGCTAACCACCGAGGATACTTCCTGTCAGCACTGTGGTCGGTGCGAGTTGTATGCGGAATTTGAATCGACGAATAAACATACCTTTTTTTTCATCGGATTTCTGACCCCCAAATTAGGTTAGCCGTAATTCGGGAAATGTGGTCCTATTAGTTTGGTCAGAACAGCAGCCTCAAGTCAGAACCACTTATTGTTAATTTTACTTTTTGCATATTTTGCCATATCTGGAAAAGTTTTTAAGTAAATTGAAAGATTTTTGCACACAATTATAAAATTTGTTTATCCAAAGATAATTCTACGCAAATTATAACTTTCAGTAAATATTTATTATTTCAAATAATAGATGAAAAATTTCTAATTGTAAATTATAAAATTTTTTACCAAATGTTAAAAATGAATTTTCAACGACAAAATTTGATTGCAATCAGTCAAATAGTACCTGAAAAATCAAATTTTGAAAAAGTCGTATTAAAGTTTATCAGAGTTATTCATTCATTTTTTATTATACCTCAGTGCTTGGCTATTAAAAAATTTATCACGCAAAGCGCCTTTTAGTAAAAAAATGACTTTTGATCAAATAATTGAATTTTCACGTACTAGAACTCAATCTTGATGGTTTAAGGTCTTCATCTTAACTATGCTAATTATTTAGCGTAGATGAAATTTTAAGTTACAATATCAGACACATAATAGTTTGGTCATGAGAATCTCAGAAAGCTTAGATCATGTAATGTTTATATTACATTTTGCATAATTGCCACACCTTGTGAACATTTCAAACAAATCAAAAACTCTTTTCATACAACTATAAAATGATTATTCAAAGATAATTCTATACAAAAAATATTTTTCATTTGTTATGTTTCATTATTTTATTTAATACTAGTCAGAAAAAGTTTTGAAATGTCAGACATAAAAATTTTTACATTATTTCAAAGAATGTAATTTTAAATGGCAAAATACAAAATTTGAGAACAATTAGTCAAATAGTTACTGAGCAATTAAATCTTAATAAATTTGTCAGGGTTGGCAAGATTTTGCCGCAGGTGGAAAAAACCATGGTAAATACCGGTAAAAACCGTCCTGGCAAAAACAGGTTTTTGCCAAGCAAAGTGGCAAAAAGTGGCAAAAACCTATATTTTCCAAGATGAGAGGACAAAAACACATTTTTGATACAAAATTATTCCTAAAATTGAAATATATACTATGAATATAAATAATTACAAAAAAATTAACAAAACTATTATTCCATAATTAAATGATAATGTAATAATATATCATTTTAGTAGTTTAAAACATTATTGATTGGAAAATTTGTGATTATTCTCTTTTTTCCAGTGAAATGAACTTATTTTAAATTAATATAACTATAATTTAAAGCATAAAATATCTATCAACATGTGTAGTTAATTATTGTACAAATAATAATTTTTTATAATAAATAATAATATTATACAAATAATAATATTTATTTATTTGTAAAAAAACATTTATTTTAGGATTCTAAAATGAAAAGAGATCACAAACTTTCAATCTTTTAAAAATTATTACCATTATATTAATTATTAATATGTTAAAAATAATTTTTTCATGTAATGTATCAAAATTATTATTCCTTATGATTGATTTAAATTTGTTTCAAGTATTTTGTAATAATATTTAATCAGCAATTTAGATAATTTGGTTTTTGCCGGTTTTTACCAGTTTTTGCCGGTTTTTACCAGGTTTTTGCCACTGTCCTGGCAAAAAACCCTTTTTGCCGGAAAAAACTCCAACCCTGAAATTTGTATACCTGCACACTTGGAAGTAGACTTTTCCTTAACAATAAAAAAGCATGGTTGCAAGCTTCTAGCATGGTTGTGAATTGCTTATTCAGTAATTAACTCCATTAAATAAAATAAAAAAGAATTTGTAGAAGGATATATTTTTTAAAGGATTGGAATCAATAAGAAATTTTTGCTTTCCAATGGCAACCAAATAGTTAAAGCAAGTTTAACATTACGTTCATATTTTAAAACTATGTAAAAATCAATAGCTGCTAAAAAAGCATTATGTAAATTTAGCAAACTTGGAATACTTACTTCTGAAATTTCCGTTAAGGTGGGTGAGGTGCTACTATCTACAGAGGCACAAGACTCACAACTAGTGTCACTTTCTTGAACAGGGATTTTCTTCCTGGGCTTTGGCACTGGATGACTGTTTAGATGACCATTTAGAGACGACGCTCTACAGCTTTCATTAATTACAGAAGTAATGCACGAGATGATGGGCTCACAGCCTTCCGAAGTCGAGAGGCGCGTCGGTACGGCGGGTAACTGAGCCTTTACTTTGGAATGTGAAACAACTGATGGAGAAGAGGCACTTCTAATGAATGACTGAGGAATAGGCAGACCGTTTTGAACTGTTTTGTTTGTTACATTCTCTTCTATGCTCGAAGCATTTTCTCCCAAGCTGATTGAGCGGCCGGTCGCGGCCAACGCTTCTCGATTAGCGTATACGGGGCCGGTCCTCCTGCTCAGTTTCCTGGCCAGAGATAACCGAGGCGCGGGGACCGGCATTGTCTTGTGTGATCTCTTAGACTCTTCCGATATTATTCTGGATAAACTGTGTACCGTTGCACCATTGCAATTGGAAGTTGCATCATTTACTTTATCTCTTTCGATTTTAGTTTTTCTGTGGCAGGATTCGGGAGTTCCTTTTTTAACTTTCCTGTCGGAAGTCATAGTACCGTCTCCGTAAATGAATAGAGAAAGAAACGCGGGTAAAAAATCGAAGCTTGAAGCTTTTTGTATGTTTCCCTTTTTACCTTCCTTAAAACTAACGTCGCCGACTACAGATGAAAATGAACTCTTTCTCGAACTCGTGGGAGGAGTCGAGGGATGGGTACCGATCAGTTCGGGGGAGATTCGGGCATGCACAGAACGAGAGAGATCACCACTTTCGAGGTTGTCATCACTGAGAGATGGATACAAGCACGAACGTATATTAGAAGTGGATGGATTTGTATTATTTGCATTTTGAGGCAAAGTCTGAGAAGAGAATTGAGGAGCTACGGATGAAAATATCTTAGAAAACAGCTTCCGTTGATTCAGGCTGTTTAAAAAACGACTAGCTTTGGAGGGAGGTGAGCCACCCTCACTGTTTGTAGCCCCTTGGCGGAGTGATGAGGATTTATTACGCTCAAGAGTTCCTCCACCACTTTGATGATGATTACTAGTCCTATCGGTGTTGATGTCTGAGCTTCGAGTTCTAGACTGTGAAGAGGTATTATCACTTGATCTGCGGGGAGGAACAACACAAGGATCTTGAAGAGAACACCATAAACCATCACTGAACAAAGTGTAGTGACTTACAAGCTGAAAAGAAAATATCATTAGTTTTGGTTTCAGAAAATGTAAAAGTGGTTAAGTTGATTTTTAGGTAAGTGACAGAACAAGCTATTTTACTTTTTTAGGCACAATTATATTATTAAACTGATTTTGATAGATACTAATTTTTGTCAATTCACCACAGCAAAGAATTATGATAATAAATTTTATTTCTCACTATATTTTAAATAGCAACCAAAAATAAATCTCTTTTAAAATTTATTAGCATTAAGGGAAGGTTTTTGTTCATAGAACTGAAAATATAGTATGTTCACTTATGCACCATCATCTTTATTCATTTCGTTTTAACTTTATTCAAAAATGTATAATAATCAACATACATTGGTAATAAGAACGTCAAGTAATTTATAACTGACATATTTATAAATTTGCAGTTAAAACTGATTTTTCAGTATTGATAAACTTGATTGACAGTATTTGACACAAGTATTTCTATCAAAACAGCTTTCAATTACATAGAAATATTTTGAATTGAATATAAAACATTTTCAGAAATTTGCATATTAGCAAAAGAGCAAGAGAGTATATCAATCAACTGAGATAATAATGAGTACATGAAGCTGGTTTCAAATTCATAGCAAAGCAAAAATGAAATATATTTACAGCCATGATGCTGGGGAATCTTTGACCATCTTGAATAGCAAATTCTCCTGATGGCAAAACATCGATTTTATAGTGTTTGATACGACCAGAGTGACTCAGACAAAGAGCATAACTACTGTCGTCACGTTCTCGAACTCTGAAATGAAATTTTGATTAAAAGTTGATACTAATTAAACATAAAATATTTTTAAAAAAAAATAATCCAACAGAAAAATACTTACAAAAATTTTCCATCTTTATGACCACTGTCCTCAATAGCCTGTTCGGCCTCGACTCTCGACAAAATACCGTGGAACCAGGGTTGTATTTCATGCAAGGTTTTAGTGATAAGAAGTTTTATATCACTATAGCTCTCTGTTAAACTAGTATCAAGCTTATCTTCCTGTAAATAAATGAATGGAAAATAAATAAGGTAAACTAGTTAGACGCAAGCAAAATAAGCGGCAGACTATGAGAAGTTCGCTCCAGTGAAAAAGGGGAAAGTTGCATTTTATTACAACCTAATATAGCTTTACAAAGTTTATCCAGTACAGTAAATGATATAGTTTCTTTCCACAGAAAGAGAAACCAGTCTTTCTGTTTACAAACTCTACTTGCCTCCATATGTTATAAATGGCAAATCTATCATTAAGTAATACTGTTTTCTCCTATTAACTAATTATTTTAAAAGTATTTATGATTTTTTATGCGTGAAAGAGGCTTGTAGAGGAGAAATAAATATCTTTGAGTTACGTAGATATTAGATAATCAGGATCCTATTTGTTTCCAGTAGTAGTCTAACACTAAACAGTTGAGGTCATTTTGGTGAATACCGGCATTATAAAAAAAAGTTAACTAGAAACTACGAATAGATGGATACGGAAAAAAAGAAAGAAATTTTGGTGTATATGTTTGCTGAAAATGAATTTAAAAAAGAAAAAACCTATAAATATTGAAAATTATAATCAAAGGAACATAATTCTTTATTTAAGAAATTAGTTGTTTTATTTTGAATTGAAAGGCTCAATGAGAAATACATATTTTTTAAAAATTCATGTTATTTTCATAATTTATTCAATGCATTATTATTGAAATTTTTAATTTTTGCTATTTTTTCCACTGTCATTTTACACAAATAATTTCAGGTAAACAACCGAAATTAAATCAATGATGGACAATTGATTTGAAATAATATAAGCATTAATGGATAGGGAAAAAAACTTAAGCCCTCGGAATCCTTCTACAAAACTCCAGGGGATCTACGGAACACCTTTTGGGAATCGCTAGCCAAAGTAAATGCAGTTAAATTTTATCAGATTTAAAATGGAAATGATGTACTTACGTCGATTCCCCATTCCTTGGCTTTTCTGAGTATTGCTTTTCGAATGACCTCTTCCGTGACACCCCAGTGTGTCAATGGTAGAACAGAGTCTAAGGATTTATTACAAGGCAATGTTGGTTTACAGGCCAAGCCCTCAACACCTTGAACTAATTCTACGGGACCTGCAAATTTTTGTCTTGGTACACCACACAGCCCAACCTCACCACTGCTAAGTTTCTTGATTCGATAATGAAGAACACTACAACAAAAAATATATGTCATTAGCTTTATTTTGCAAATACACCTCACGTCACTTACATCTGCCCTATAAACGGGCTTAGACGCACGTCACAGCTCGTTTACAGGGTGACCCCATTCATACATCCACGAATTGTAATTTTGATCTGAACCAGAGAACGATCAACATTCAATACAGTACTCCCAGAGATATAATGTGTCACGAGAACATGGAGGATTTTGTGACTCGACAGCGTTCATGCACAGCAGTTACCATTTGCTATGCGGGGAGCCTTTAACCGGCACGGATCAGAGCCTTCAACCGGCACGAACTCAAACTCACCATCTCTTAGGCATAGGCCTAACACCGTACCAAATAGGCTATCCTGACCTATTTTTATATATATTTCTGATAATGTTTACAAAACATTCGGGAATTCCACAGTACTTCAACAGCTTCCAGAGTATAATTTATTATAACCATCCATAATTATTGAAAGTAACTGATCGTGGCTATAATACTAATTCCCACAACATAATAAATATAGTTGGTATTGACAAAATATTAGAATTTCACAAAACATTTCAACACAAGTTACAATAATCCATTAAGAATTATTTAAATAAAAAAATAGGTACAGTAAAACAAAGGTACAATAAATGGTTACCTTTTTTGATAACAGAGTGAGAGTACATAATCTGAATTGCTTTCTCTCAATAGATACATGCCATCTCGACAGCCCCGATCCCAGAGAATCCATTCTGCTGTCTCCCTGGATATACTGCCATAATAATATAGCATAGATTCAACAGGTACAGGCAGTACCGTGACTTCAATTGTGGAACTTTCCGTCATGTTGGTCACATCCTTGCAACAAAAACCAAGCAGGGAGGCCAAGCGAGATACTGCATTATACCCTGTTTTAACCCTAAAATAAAAAACATCCTCAGATTTTAGAAAACTTTTGAGTTTAAGTTCAATATAATTTTAAAATGTTGAGACAGTTAACAGAGAACAGTCGATAGAGTTAACAATGAGAAAAATATTTTTGTTTATAATTTACGTTTTGTTATAGGAGCATATAAAGATCAGAGAATAGTAGAAGAAAGTTTGCATAGAGCAAAGGAACAACCTAAATAATTTTTTATCTAATAATCCGATTTACAAGTACCAGAACTCAATATTAATGGTTCAAATGAGCTAATTAATTAGTACATATGATATCCTAACTTTCCAATCAGACATAACAACGCACTTTCTCTGACATGCCTTATTTTCGACGAACTCAGATTCCTAATTGTAAAAATATGGATATAGTCGCAATCCGGCAAATGACGCGGCAGATTGTCACTACATCTGCAGAATCATCTCAGATTCTTTTTAAATAAACAACAAATGGAAAGAAAAAATTGTTAGCAAAAAAACTGTAAGTAAAAAGTAAAGATGAAACAAAAAAAGACAAGATTTTTCAGTTTTTAATTATGAAAAATAAGAAAAAGATTTCTGTTTCGTTTTTTTAAACGAAAAAAAAACTATACTAAAAAAAAAAGACATTTAATGTTCAGTTTTCAAATTACTGTTTTATGTGGCTGCAAAATACCTGTGAAGACAAAGTTATAAATTTCCTTTAAATAATTTTTTTTTAAAATTTAATCAACACAAATCGGAACACCATAAATTACAATTCTGTTAATTTCCTCCTTTAAAATGAAAAGATTTTATTTTAATATTCCATTAAATTCCTTTCTTATTTCTTTATTGGGTATAGCATAAGCATCTTGTTAGAGCGATAGTATAAAATTCAAATTAAATATAAACGACGAAACGTTTTTGTGCATAACCTTGCTATACTATTTAATATTTGCAAACGTATGGGACTAAGTTTCCCANTAGTTGTTTTTAAAATATTGTATCTTTTAAGTGCTACCTCAAACCGATCAACGAAATCTGTGGTTAGGTAATAATTTTTGTACTTTAATCATTATTAGTCCAATTTTTGGAGCTTTAGGCCCATTGAGGCAACAGAAGATATCATCCCAGAGTTTTAAGATTTCGCTCATTTTTTAATAATAGGAATTCACATCTTTTCCGCACTACCGCAAAAAGATTTAAGAAATTTCGATTTTTTCGATACGCCCTAGTGTTTATCCAGATAAATTTCTTTATTTAAAATATAGTCTGCTTCAAAGAATTATCATATTTGAGATCACCTCTTTGAACCATTAAGAATGAGTCCCAGTACATTTAAATTCGATCATTAGATCCAAATTCAGGGCATTCCCTTTTCTTCTTTTTTGTTCATTGTACATAAAAACTATTTTTTTAAAGGCAGTTTCAATCATCTACAGCTTTATTTGATTAAGTAACTAACCTTCGTAACCTGATTTTTCTGAAATAGCTGGAGCAACAGTTGTAACCTAAACTCTTTATTTCTTGCTTTAAAAGTATTTAATATATAAGGACAAAGATTTTTTTTATTTTTTTGTGAAATTATATTTGTTTTGTCGTCAGAATGAGTCTCTCAACATTATATAACATATTACCAGGGTGAGTAGTCAAACCTTTCAATAAAAAATAAGCACCTTTTAAATACTTTTTAAGCACTCAAAAAATATTTGTAAGCACTATATACATTAACAAAATACAAAATAATTTTCAAAGACTTTACAAGATCATGATAGAATAAATAGTTTCTGACAAAGAACTCTTTTCTTAATTATATGAGCCATTATAGAATAACTAGTGGATTATATTAGCCATTATAGAATAACTAGTTTCTGACAAAGAACTCTTTTCTTGATTATATTAGCAATCATAAAATGATCGAGAGATTTTTCGGTTCGATATCAGAGGGTGGCAAATTAAGCCTGAAATTCAGAATATCTTGCAAAATGCACACGAGACTGCAGTAATTTCACCGAACCCAGCCATACCAGCTCAGTAGGCGTACATGCAGACCCGCAAGTATTTCATCTAACATACGTAAAATGATTGGCAGTTTATACACTACGGACCGACGGTACGCTGAAGTGGATTGAGGTTGAATGAATTGCAAAAATGTTAAATAGAACAATGTGAAAAACACACTTTTGCATAATACATGACGAAAATCGACACGGTAAAGAAAAATCTCATTTTCGAAAAAGGAAAATTAAGCACTTTTAAAAAACACCCAATGAAAAACGCACTTTTAAAAAACGCTACCAACATGATTTCTCATAAGCCAAAGATATGTTTAAAAAAAAAAAAAAAAACAGACTTAGGATGCAATGGATGTACTAGTCGTTTCCAAAAAGGTTAATTCAGTCAGTACATTTAAAATACAATGAAGGTTTTAAAAAAAATTTAAACCATTTTTGCAAAAGCCTAATATAGGCCAGGGGTCACAGTTTCGTGAACAAGCATCAGTGCCGCTTTTACTTCCCAGACAGGCTGGTACCGATCTAAAGCTGGGTGGGCTTTAGGACGCCATTGAATCCTAGTTATTCCCAATAACTCAGAGTGCCTTTTATCACTGAACCACTGCAGCTCAAGTACAGATAAAACAATGACAGATTAAAGTTTCAACATATTATTAAATAAGTTGTATGTGTATATATAATTTATTTATATAAAAAAAATAGTACAATTTGGGATTGTAACATCAGAAAAGATATTAAAAGACAACTCACAAATGCTTTCAATAATGCTATTTTATCTTATTTGAAATACATTTTAATTTCTGAGCAACAAAAATAAAAGATTTAAGGGGAATACCACTGCAAGATTATCAAAATTAAAGTTTTTCTTAAACTCATTGCATTTACATTAATAAACTAACAATAATATTTTTACTGACCTTAATAGGACCCCAATTATGTATTTTAAGATTTACCTATTCTGTTTTAGAATATTTTTCATATTCTAAAACAGAATGTTTTGTGGGACTAGGCTATGTCAACCGTCCTCTATTTTAAGATACCTCCTGATAGAAAAGTTAACACATCTTATACTAGTGAATTGAAGTTCAATAATTGTAGTGTTAGCTACGCTACATTACTTCCCCACCAGAATTTAATCTGTGATAAAATTCCTTGAATGGATATCTCTCGTTAATTCAATGCCATTTTGAGAGAAGTTGTGAGAGCCATATTAAGATCGCGATTGTGGGCATAGCCACTGTGTTGCTATTAACAATCAAGTGTGCGCAGGCACCCATTGTGTGTGATAGAAACTTAATAGCAACACCGAGAGGACAATGGTGCAGCCACCAATAGCAAGTCAACTGTGGACCGTCTATTGAACTAGGTGTGTTCGAATCGAAGTGGGCGCTTCAGTCGAGCTAGACACGTACAAATCACATCCGGTTGATCCCCAATGTGGGTGTAGCTACCAACGTCTAAAGGTACCTCCAGATAGAATAGAATGTCTAGGTAATTGGAACTGAATAATTATAGTGGTAGCTATGCTACAAATTTTAATTATCTGTTCATTGAAGGTTTGAAAAAGTGATTTCAACCGGTAAAAGTACAAATGTGAATGTAAGTGGAAGAACTGTTATTTCAGTTACACCACAACGAGCACTATTTAACGTAACTTAAAACATGTGTGGCATCAACGAATGTCTCAGTTCATAAATAGAATAAGAAGGTTTGACTTTATTATGTGTCACATTAAAATGTTAAACACATTTAAAATCCATCATCTGATTGAACTATTTAGATTCAAAAAATTTGCTCCACACCAATCATTAAGCATGCTATGTGAATTGCAATGAATCTTTTTTACTTTTTGTTAAGGTGAAGACTAAAAATCAATATGATTCATATATTATCAAGTTAACTAGTACAAAAAGGAAATAGATTTGGCCACTAAGCATTTATAACATGGAAAATCCAAATCACATGCACAGTGTTAATTGATAAATCTTTAATTTGCCCACTACATTTTTTTTTAATAAAAAAAAAAACATGGAGAATCACGGAGTGTATTATCAAGTCTTATAGTTAATAAACTGAGATATTTTTTTTTTTGTAAAAAATAACTTTAAAAAAAAAAACGATGTATTGTTGTTTCTTATGCCACTGGCCAATACCAGCAAGCCTGCTTGGTGAAACCAAGTGAATTTAAGGCAGACGGAGCGTTTCTTATTTTTCAGTGAAGCCTTTTAGGGCCAAGAATACAGCTTCAGTCACAGACACGTCACATCCCGTTTTAAAGGGCAGATTCATTCATACAGCCATTCATTCATCCACACATCACACAATAGCCATTCATTCATCCCAGATACTGATTTGTTTGGAAACATGGAGGTCTTTGCGACCCAACAGATTTAACATGCACTAGGCACCATTTACTAAGCAGAGAGTGGGGATGGCTACCAACTAGGCTATCCCGACCTCAAAACTGCATGTAATGGAATATACCATAAATGCCTTTGCTAAACTTTTCAATGAATTGGATGAAAATTGAAGATATTACGCTATTAACACATAAAGCATACTCTTTAAAAAGTCTCCGTTTGACATGTTTATTTTATTGACCACACTTATTTAAGTTTTATAGAGCTTTACATGCATAGTTGTTATTTTATTATTAAACTAGCTGTCTACGATTACCAGTTGGTTCCTCGTTGTCTTTTACGAATTGTTTCTGCTCTCCTCGACATCACAGCTCAGAGTCCTCAGCACTAGTATTTTAAGCACAAATCGGATGGCCGTAAATCTTTCTTTGACTCGCCTGGGGTGGAGAGTTGGCTCACCCACACAAACTCCCCATTTCTCGGATCCACAGTCATCTAACTGCATAAATTCACCTCTTCGAGGTTTAATGGCACAAAAGCCAGGCAATGATAAACTGCGCTAAATGCTCGATAATCTGAGGAAACATGTTATTAAACATAACTGTCCAATTATCTGGATTACCCCCAAATAACTAAAGATATAAAAATAAAGCTTTTTCAGTTTTTTACATGCCTCATAAAAATAAATCTAAATTTGGAACTTCTGTCGAGGTGAAAACGTGATCACTGTCAATTTAGTGTTAATTATGCTCCATTCACCCCAGTAATTATCAAAAAAAACACTTTTTTTTTGCTGTTATTTATCTCACAAAGAATACGTGAACTAAATTTGAGACTTGTATCTGGGTGGAAACAAGTTATTTAGCATTACTGTTGAAGGGTGATAAAAAGGTCGCTTCCTAACCAAAAATGGCATTTTTACGTTCTCTTAACACCGTAAATCAAAATGTGTAATATTACATAATAACTGAATTTGATCCTCAACAATTTTTAAATTACTTGATAATTACAAAATATCAAAATGAAACTTTATTTTCTTTAATTATCTCATAAAGAGCACACATTCTAAATTTTTATCTTTCTTAGTCCGTGGCAGAATTAGTGACAAATGACTTTGAATTTTATAAATACAGATTTAATTAGAAAATTAATTCTTCAGGCAATCGCAGTGGTCTTCCCCTTATAACTGTAAAATTCACACTAGAAATACTTATCAAAAATGAGTAAAAGAATTAGCAATATAAAATTGTTTTTTTTTCTCATTCAAAAGCTACATAACTGATAATGAGAAGAAAAATTCAGGCAAAGCTAAGAGCATTGTGTAATTCATTGAAGCATCTGATTGAAACAAAATAAAAAATAAAAGCAAAACAGATGAAAAAGCAGAGAGTAAAGAAGAAGCTTGAAAGTAAATAACTAAGCTAAAAGTGAAGTTAATGTTTTTCTCTTTCTCTTAAAAAAAAAACTTACATTTTTAATGTTTTGGCTTACAAAACTTTCAGCAAATTCCTGTTCTGGTCCATAAAGTGCCGTTTTCTAAAGAATGTCATATAATATTTAAGTGCAGTGAAAATTGTTAAAACATAATAAACAAAATAAAAAAGCTTTAAAATAAAACAAAATAAACAATAAATACAATGCATAATAACAAAGAAAATACTTATAAATCAAATTTGTAAAATACATAAAAATGAAGACTATTTAACTTAATATGTACAATACCCAGTGATTCTTGCATTTATTTTATGAATTACATCAACAAAAGATATTTTTTTTCAAAACTTTACTGACATCCATGAAAAGTCATAGTTTTTTTTTTAAATTCTTAAAATATGTAAACTTTATCTTAAACCAAAAAGTAGTACTTACATACATTTGTAGAAATGACAACTAAAATATATTTACTCAACCCTTTCGACCCGAATGGGATATATAAGTCCAAAAAAGATTCAACTTTATTAGCTAATGGATAAACATATTCCAATTTTGAACGGCGTTTTTATGTTTTCAGGGTTCTTTAGGCATTAGGGAATAAAAATATGACTACAGGAACTTGGCAACACTCTCATGTTCAAAATGGAGGTATTCTGTTTACGAGCACTCCAGTCAATTTAGTTTTAATTTACGTATTTTTTTTTAGGTAAGTTCAACTATATTTTTTTTACATTTTGAAAAAAATAGTTGCTTGTTCTCATTGAGTACTCATTAATAATTGTACCTATTTAAGTATCAGAAATTTTGACACAATTTGCTTTGTGGGATAAAGTGTCCTAATCGTACTTACCAGTGGGACAATATATCCCATTATTGAAAAAAAAAATTTAAGGACAAAATTTCAGTTTTTGTTTTGATTATTTTATAACGGCAACTTTGGGTTTCTATAACTAGCGGTAAGAATAAATAATTCGATGCATTTATATTATTTATTTCCATGCAATATATAGATATTTTTAGAATATTCAAGACAATTGGGACATATTGTCCCAGGAGATTTCGGGGAAAAGTGGAAAACTTTAAACTTATAGTATGCTTATTTCAATATGTTAGCATTAACGTAAACTCCTTTTTATATTTAAATTTCAATGCTGCAAAAGTCGGGTCAAAAGGGTTAATGTATCAAAAATATTTCAAAAAAATATACCTAAGCTTTCTCCATCCACCTATTTTTCTTTTTGAAGCATTTTTGGGCTTGACTTGAATACTAAACAACAAGAAGTTGTAGAAATGCATTACCCTGGAACAAAAAATATATAATTTAATGTTAAAAAAATGAAATTTTAATACTCAAAAAAGGTATTTTTTCTTCCTTCTAAACTAAACATAAAAAGTTATATTAGCAAAGAAAAAATGTTGAACAGTTTGTGGTGTAATTATCACTATGATTATTAAACATCAATTCACTAGTATATAAGACATGCTAACTCATTTCAATCTTGGGTACCTTTTATTTTATTATATAACCATCATTGAACTGCCAACCCAAATTTTTGGGTTTATGACTGCTAATGTTCAACTCCGTAGCCCTGTCATTTTGAGCCCAATCCAGAAGAAAAGGGAACTCCTGGATCAAGAATTGGAAGAAATTTGCCTTAGTAGAAGATTTTTTAAAGGAACTAACCAGCATTTGGGTTACATGGAAAGGAAAACCACAAAAACCTCCAACGGTTAGCCAGACGGCAAGGGGACACTAACCCATGATCCGTCTACCAGGGGTACCTTTCGATAGATGAAGGTCGACATAGTCGAAAGCTCTTTCCCCACATCGGTGACCCAGACGGGATATAAACTTGTCTTCATCGAAAGGAACGCCCGCTTCGATCGACTGTTCACGTTGAACAGTTGACTTGCTATTTGTGACCACGTCATCCTCTTCCCCAAACTGTTGCCTCTCAGTCTCATTTATACACAACAGGATTCTGCACACACTCAACTGCTAATTGCAACACAAGAGAGACCACGCACGCAGTCATGAATTTAATACAGCTCTCACGACAACTCGGTAAACTTAATACAGCTCTCACCACTTCATCAAATTCAATCCTTGCTATAATTCTTGTGGGGGAGAATTGTGGCGTAACTACCACTATGATAGTTAAACATCAATTCACTAGTACATAAGACATGCTAACTCAATTCAATCTTGGGGCACTTTTTGATAGATGAAGGTTGACACGGACTTTCCCCGCAAGTTGAATTGACACCCTTTAAAGACAAGAACCAATAGCAAAAACATTTTCAGTTGTTTTTTTCAATAATTATTCTTAGTGTTTAAAAAGTCACTTCACTTTCATTTTATTTAAGTCAAAATTGAGTTGTGCGTGTGTGTGACAATAGTCTGGGAGGCATCCTCGAGGACAATCCGAAGTCGAGTAATCATAATTTTGAAGTTTTCCGAAGAGGATGGCTCCCCCTGCTTCGGGAGTCTAAAGACCTGCAAGCAAAATCGAGCACATTACAGTACAACAATTAAATGATTACTGATACTGCACACCCTTACCCTCTAAGCTGACTGATTAAAATGATCATCTACCCACTCACTGACTACTGCCAGTTATGCATAAATTTGGTGATCTACTGGGAACCATGTCTCACAATCAAGACCACTAAGGAATGCGCTATTCCATAAGCTATGAGTCATTAATTTGCATAATGAGAGATAAATAAAATCATCTAAATTGATTGTAATCGAAAGAAAATTGCTGCATGTATCAATCACTTGGTTCATTAAGAATTAATTGCTTAGTTGGTAATTATGTTTTAATGAATAGAGCAAATTTATGGACATTACAATAATTTTTATTTATTAAATATTTCAAATTCTTTTACATAAAATATATCAGTTTAAAGTTTTATTTTTTTTGTTGCTAAAATTGCATGGTAAGAGAATATGCTTTCAAAGAAAATAAAGAACATTTTATAACCGTCAAACCTCTCTATCGTTCTTGCACCTTCCCATATATATCGTATTGTTTTAAGGGTCCCATCACAAATGTTATTTTTATAATGTTAATATTTGAAATTAGCTAATTCCCACATCCATCATTCAAATATTCTGCCAACATTAAAAAAATACTAAAGTTTGTTCTGAAAGAAAAAGAATACAGTTATTCCAGATGCTAATAATGAAGAAGATGTGGATTTCTTACAGTTTGGGTAAAACACCTCAAACAACAGGTTTGATTTATATGCACCAGTTGATAAAAAAGTTTAAACTTTTGACGTTGTGGGTTCAAGAAATGGTTGCAGAAGCTGATGAAGACTAAACTTAACACAACCAATTATGACAAACATTTGTATAAGCCCTTGAACCCTTTAAAAAAATATGGAACTTTTAGTATTCATATGAACTTTCAGAAAATGAACAGCAATCTGTAACAAATATCAAAAATTTACTGCTTGTGCTGAGTAGAAAGAGAAACCAAAAATTACCAAATACTTTAAAGAAATAAATATATTTATCTAGCCTTCTTTCGCATTGTAAATATTTTTGAAGAATGTACATAATTTTTTCAATTAATATTTTTTATACTTAGTGTAAATTTATTAATTTTCATACTTTTCTAGTCATTATTATTTGATATTTTTAGTTTAGATTCATTGTTTTCTCACATCGATAGTTCGTAATGAATAGTCCCTCGCAAAATGTTTCATCGAGGTTCTACTGTTTTTATCCTAAAAGTGATTGAAAATATGAAAAGAATCCTTTTGTATGGTCATAAGATAAATTACTCTTTAACTGAAAAAATAATTTTTAAAATGTATTCTGACCTGATACTTCTATAAATTTTAATGCCGAATTTCCCAAAGTAATTAAAATGGTATTTAACATCATTTTTTTTTATTTTTAAGCACTACTTTTAATACAAGTAACCTGTATATAAGTTTCATTAAAAAAAAACATTCATATATTAATTAATAAAAAGGAATAAAATATTAATTAAATAAGTATTAATTATATAAATATAATAGTGAAATATGAATTAAAAAAAATCAATAAATGCTTAACTAGTATATTAACTTACATTACTCATAGGAATTCAGTTGAAATCTTAGGATTCCTGCATTTTCCATGATACATGAACCCTGTAAAAAGAAAGAAAATATTCTGAGATGAATACCTTATTCATAGATAACAAGTTGAATTGAAGCTTAAGCGCTGGTACAACAATTTTTTAACAATAGCATGTTAAGCATAAAAGCAACATGCAGCACACACATACTTGAATATAATAAATGTAATTTATCTTAGAATGGTGATTCCTTCAAAACTTGGTGAAATAATTGAAAAACCATGACAAATATATTTTATTTTATAACCGGCGTTGAACAGCCGACCCAATTTCGGGTTTGCGACTACTAACGTTCAACTCTGTAGTCTTGTCATTTAGAACACAATCCAGAAGACAAGGGCACTCTTGGATCAAGTACCTGTTGAGAGAAATTTGTTTTTGTGAAGATCTTTTTGATGGCACTAACCCGCATTTGCATTACATGGACAGAAAAACCATGAAAGCCTCACACGGTTAGTCTGATGGCAAGGGGCCTCTAACACATGACCCATCTAACCTGAGAATATTTTATGTCAGCACCGTGGTCTGTGCAAGCCGGATGCGGAATTCATATCGATCAGCCATTTCCGGGATTCGAACATGGTTCACCTCATTGGAGGGCAAACGCTCTATCCCCTGAGCCACCGCGGCTCACGATACACATAAAGTTAAGTAGGTGTAACAACTACAACAAGATTCCATACTGAGAAAACGCTAGAATAATTGCCAAGTTTTGGTGATTTCTGATAAGTAGTCCACCATAAACTTCTGTGAGCAAAACAAACTACAATGTTAGCAGACATCCTGTTAAATTTTTTGTTAAATCAAAGAAAAAAAATTTAAAGTTGTGGGGCCTGCAAATGATACTGGGGATATTCAACAGAGGTGCTTTTTCCAGGAGTTATTTTTTCATGAATTTGGTGCCCCTCCACTGAACTCATTCAAATTTATTTCTATATTTATGCACACTATAATGCTTCTAAATTGGTATCTTAACAGCCTACATAGAAAGCAAATGTAAAAAATACAAGTAGGAGTAACGTTTTGCATATCATATATTAAGGTCACTCCAAAAGTAGTTAGTACAAAATATAAATCCAATTAAAGTATAAAATTGTTTTAAACAAATTTTAAGCAGGGTTGGAGTTTTTGCCGGCAAAAAGGGTTTTTTGCTAGGACAGTGGCAAAAACCTGGTAAAAACCGGCAAAAACCAAATTATCTAAATTGCTGATTAAATATTATTACAAAATACTTGAAACAAATTTAAATCAATCATAAGGAGGTAATTGTTCTC